TCGAGGCCGTGAGGTCGATCTCGGCCAGCTTCGAGGACCGGGCCCCTTCGCCGCAGGGGGGGCGCAGGGCGGCAGGGTGGCGGAGAGGCAGCGAGATCGGGGAGAGGAAGGCTGGGGGAGCAGGAGCCGCAACAGCAGCACGAGCGGGGGCGTTACCAGAAAGGAGCAGGGGAAGGAGCAGGAGCCCGAGGAGGGAGCAGGAGCAGACTGAGCAGGGGGAGGGCCGAGGAAGGAAGGATGAGGACGAGGGAGCGAGACGAAGGGAAAGATGGATAGGGGGACAGTGTGAGGGGGATGTTGAGTTGGATGATGACGAGGAAAAGGAGGAGGAGACACATCCAGAATATCATTGATTCCAGTCCTACTACCAGTAGTAATCGCACTGATAATGCACAGGCTGTATGACACCTTCCAGTGCCTATGGCCTATGGCATTTGCATTCGCACACTCACATATTTATATACATCTAAGCAGCATGCCAGCAACATTATACATACACGCGCACATAACAGTACGATGGTGAGGGCGTACTGCTGATTATGATGATGAGGATGATGCTGTTCATAATGATGATGATGCTGATTATGACGACGATGCTGATGATGCTGATGTTGATGGACATGGTACCGATGATGACGTTAATGCTGATGCTGCTGCTGATGATTCTGATGATCATGATGATGATGATGTTAGTGATGATGACGGCGACTATGCTGCTGCTGATGATGCTGATTCTGCTAGTGATGATGACGACGATTGTCCTGCTGCTGATGATGCTGATGATGCTGATGATGCTGCTGATGCTGTTTATGATGGCGATGGTGTCGGTGGTGTTGGCACGGCTGCTCCTGCTGATGATGACGATGGCGACGCCGATGATGCTCATGATGATGAGGGTGATTACGCTGATGGTGTTGACCATGCCACTGATGACGACGCCAAATGATGATAATGATGATGATGATGATGCTGATGATGATGAGGATGATGATGATGCTGATGCTGATGCTGACGATGACGATGCTGATGATGCTGCTGATGAAGATGATGCCGATGCTGTTGCTGCTGCTGATGATGATGGTGATATGGATGTGGATATTGATGGTGCTGATGCTGATGCTGATGATGCTGCTGATGATGGTGCTGATGACGATGACTATAACGGAAAGAGCGTGTTCTACCGCTGCTGGCGGAAAACCGGGGGGGGTCACTACCGGTTCGAACCCCTCCCCCCCCCCCCCCCCCCTCCAGAAAACCGGGGGGGTCACTACCGGTTCGAACCCTCCCCCCCCCCCCCCCCCCTGCTCATCATGAAAAGGGGGGGGGGTCACTACCGGTTCGAACCCCTCCCCCCCCCCCCCCCCCCTCCAGATCCGGAAAACCGGGGGGGGTCACTACCGGTTCGAACCCCCCCCCTCCCTCGAAAACCGAGTGGGGGTGCGGACAGTGGTGGGGACGGTGTTGGTGGGGACAGTGGTGAGGGGACAGCGGGACAGTGGTGGGGACAGTGGGACAGTGGGACAGTGGTGGGGACGGTAGTGGTGGGGACAGTGGTGGGGACAATGGTGGGAACAGGGGGGGACAGTGGACAGTGGTGGTGACGGTGGTGGTGGGGACAGTGGTGTGGGGACAATGGGAATGAGGTGGAAACAGTGGGACAGTGGAGGGTACAATGGTGGTGGGGACAGTGGTGAAGGCGGTGGCGAGGACGGCGGTGGGACAATGGGACGGAGGTACAGTGGGGACAGTGGTGGGGACAGTGGGGACAGTGGTGGGAACAGTGGGACAGCTCAGTGGGACAGCGGAGGAGTCAGTGGGACAGTGGGGACAGTGGGGATAGTCGGGCAGTGGTTGGGGCCGTGGAGACAGTGGGGAGAGTGGAACCGTGGTGGGAACAGTTCTGGGGACAGCGGGGACAGTGCGACAGTGGTGGGGCCACTGGTGGGGACAGTAGGGGCGGTGGTGGAACCAGTGGGGACAGCGGTGGTGAGGACAGTGGTGCTGGGAACACCAGTGGGGGATGTGATGCGGACGGTGGTGGGGACCGGGAGTCGTTTGCTGGCGGTGAGTAGGGGGGAGGGGGGGGGGGGGTTCGAACCGGTAGTGACCCCCCCCGGTTTTCCGGATCCGGAGGGGGGGGGGGGGGGGGGGGGGGAGGGGTTCGAACCGGTAGTGACCCCCCCGGTTTCGAGCGGGAGGGGGGGGGGGGGGGGAGGGGTTAGGGGAGGGGGGGTTTTGCCGGGGGAGGGGGGGGGGGGGGGGGGGGGTTCCAGCAGGGGTGGGGGATTTTCGGAGGGGGGGGGGGGGGGCGACCCCCGGGTTCCGGAGGAAAAGGTTGGCAATTTTCCACAGTAAAGCGGCGGTGGATCACGCTCTCTCCTATAACGAGTACGATTCTAACGACGACGACGGCGACGATTGATGATGATGATGACGATGATGATGATGATGATGATGATGATGATGATGATGATGATGATGATGATGATGATGATGATGA